TAAAATATACAGCATTTCTTGGCGCTAGGTAAAGGATTGCCGACGAAAACTGCTGTAGTATGATAATATCATTTAAGATTAATTAATATAATGAGTATTGTGTGTCATTACAAACAAATAGAAAACATAATAATTTGTATCGTAAGTAAAACAGACGGCGGCAAAGCTGTAATATCATAAAAGTGTCAACATTTGGTATGTATAGTAACATTGTGTCGTGTTTTTTTTTACCTGAAAATCCAACGGAACAAAAATCTTCAAGTTGATAAATTTTAAAATGGGTTCACAACAGCTACAGAAGGATTTTATGCTAGTATTTAAGGTAATTTTTTTTATAGAAAACTAAAGATTTGGCTCTGTTACATTTTCAGCCAATCAGAAGCTTCATAACATATTATTGATGCTTTGTGGTGATACTGTCATACTTCTAACCAATCGAAATGCTTGTTTCAAGAAGGTTTCAATCAATAAACAGTAGACTATGTTGATGTTGGTATTCTTAATATATGGATATTACTCTTAATACGAACGCTTGTGTCTATATTTCTTTACAATAAACGTTTTTATTGTGTACTTAAGTAAATGCGAATTATATATATAAAAAAATCAATGTGGAAAAATTCTCCAGCCTTTTCAGAAAAAGTTTATCTTTTGAAGGGATATTTAAAATTGTTGAGCATATCTATCAATAGAAATAACGAAATTTACCCAGTATTTAAAAAAAACGATAAAAAATAGGATCCCTCCTAGTATTTCTGTAAACATGACAATGATAAAGTAAAATGGGGCGCAAATTAAATACACCTGTTACATATAAAATGAATTCCTGTAAATGTACTGTAAAGATGTTTAAATATCCGGACGTAGTATGCCACTAAGTAGGATTTTATGATTGCAACAACACAAAATCAAGCTTAAAGGGGCATACATTCCAGCTGAAAGGTCTATCAAACGAATAATGAGAATATTCATTAATATTATAAACAATCAGAGTAACTCTAAAACATTTATTTACGCGATTTAAAAATCCCGGCGTTTATTCTTAAATCCAACTGAACAAATTGATAGCGTAACTTGTAAATTTTGGAAAAGTTAATGAATCCCAGGATACAAGAAAAATGAAATATTGTGCAAAGTTGTTTTATAACGTAAATCAGAACAAAAAGTTCGCATGTATACCCCTTTAAACATTTCCTTCCTTTAGGTAGAATTATTTCACGTCAACAAACTTATTTGATATATAGCTACAAAAACTGCCGGTTATATTCTGTGTCATGAACTCTCGTATATGAAATGTTGATCACGTGATGCGCACGCGAGATTTATCAGCTCAGAAATGGGCGGCCATATCAGTTAATATGTACAAGAACGGTTCTTGTAATATAACATTGATAGAATGACATGTGTACGTAGGAACTGTTTGGCATGAATCTATAATTATTTAACTAACAAAAAATATCAACATTAACAACAAGAGAAACAATAGGCTGATTAACCTATATTTCATTAACAGCCTCGTTCTGATTTTTTGTGATGAGAGAGAATGCCAGACCACAAGCAACTTACCAAACGGACTGATAGAAGAATGTGTTACATATATAAATACTTTGTATCACTTACATACAACAATTTTTATATAGCTGTTTTCACGTTTAATCCCAGAGATGTTCTGTAGAACCATATTGAATCATTTGCAGCCAGTGCTAAGTTATCTCTTCATTGAAAACACATCGAGATACACGGAGTATTATGCGTGAAATAAGATCTATTCGACATAAAGGGGTGTTTAAGACTTCCCAATGCATATTTCAATGTTAATGCTATTTTAGCGATGTTTTTGCTGGAACCATTAAATGAAAATATAATCGCTATGGACTATAATGGCGCTGACGGCCGTTTCATCATTGCGTTAATTTGTGCTATTGTGCTAATTAGATAAAAAAAAACAGAAAGATTTACACAGAGGCTCCTGAAAAGGTACAAGGAGAATACGACCAGGTGTTGCGGGAGAGTAAGCGTCTTCTGCTTAATCGACGACACCCGCATTATACTAAACAGGCCCAATTAATACGCTAGATCAAAGTCTTATGCAACTGAAGTGTATTACGTATGAAATACATGTGTGAATATAATTTAAGTATTGTTAGGAACTAAATCACGCACATACATATCCTCACATACGCACTGCATTGCCACATTCAAAAATTAAAATACACAGTAATAAAGTTTTTAATTAACTCTAAAGCGACGCCGCCAAAGGCATTGAAAACGAATATGTCTAAAAGTTTTCTTAACCACATACTTATGATAAGTATGTTTCTCATGCAGCGAGAATAAAATTATTTCACCAATGTTTGAAAGAATATATATGAATGTGTTCATGTTAACATTGTTGCACTTTTCATTAACTTGTATGGCACTGGACTTTCCGTCAGCGTCATGTATTGAAAACCTTATATGGTATGGAAAATTCGAAATGAAGAAACTAAAATTGAAAGAAAGTCTTGATTGAACTTGAAATTGATGAAAAGATGACATTTGTAAGGAACAAATGAAAATTTACACGTAAACCACTAGAAAATAATTCTACTGAGAAAAGCAGATGCTTTAAAAATGTTGGTAAATCCAGGTAGTAATAATACCTTCTTAGATAAGAACAGGGTATATAACAACAGAACCACCAGGCATTCTAACGACCATCGAACACATCTGACTTCATATTGCACAAGGAAAATTAATATTTCACCCTGTGTCAGCAAAGTCGATCAAAATCACTTCCACACATAAAAAGCATAGCTGAGAAACGAGCTTGACTAATCAGAAGTACGCAAACTATATCAGTGAGGTGCAAATCTACAGCTTTGGAGTAATCGAGATCCCCCTCCTTATTTTAACTACTTTACCACTTGAACGCAGAATTATGAATACGTGATTCAGTGCTGTCCGCATGTTCATCTCAGTGCGACACCGAAACAATTTTATTTCGAAAATATAACAATCAAGGACCCATGTATAGAACATTATTGAACAAAGTAAAGGCTGTACTGTTAAAATGCCTTCCCTCGTTTGTGTATAAAGAAACTTCAACTATTCCCAACACTTTCACTTCTCCGTGAATAACACTAATTACAGAATAGATTCTAGTATTGAAGAGATTAACGGAGTGACAGTATGTAATCTTTAATGAGTTTTCATTTCGTATGATGTCTAATGAAACAAGCTACAGAGTTTTTTTTATTTATAATTCATAATTTCTGGATGAGTTAGGTAAAATCTCACAACGCTCCAGGTTATATCAGACTAGTGTTAAACATGCAAAAAAAAAAAAAAAAAAGAAAAAAAAATCCTTAAATATAGATTTTTAAAACGTCTTGGCCAAAATCGCTGGATAACAGGCGGATGATATAACAAATAGGGTCCGTACATTGACTTAACCTAAAACTGAAGTCAATAAAGAATACACATTGATCATTCGATGTTCAACTCCCACGGAAACTGAAATCTCAAAAGTAAGCGTATTCTCAACATTATAGCGTTTCTTCAAGCTGCACTTAAGCGATAAATACCCCAAAGAAATTTTATTTAACCATATTAAGAATCTGACATAATCTATAAAAAGGCAGCTCCTAATACGGTAGTTTTCTCACAAATATAACAGAGATCACGTGACCTGACGGTTACAAAACGCCATAATTAAGGTTAGGGTGGGGCAGTAGAGCAATATCGTTGTCTGTTCCGCCTAACGTTTTAAAAAAACTTCCATTCATGACTACTGGAAAATACTATTTTTACGTGAACGTAAAACTTGGGTCAATACTAGCGCGTTTTCAATAATCCGTTTTTCACCATCCACAGAAACTCAAATTGGCGCAACTGTCTTCTCTGATCTGTAAAGTCTATGATTTGTGTTCACCCATCAGTTCTAAAAATTGTTTATCTAACAACTGATTTGATAAATGTTTTCAAAATTGTAGGAATTTAAATATAGGAACTGAAGGTGTTTTTGATTGATTAAATTTTTTTTTCTGATTTCGGGGCACGGATGAAAATACTCGACATTGTTAAAAAATTTCACCGTGCAACACCTTCTAGTCATAGTCGAACGCAATTAGCGTTTGGTTGAGGACTACGTAAACCTGATGGTTTCTACAAGGACTTTGATATTGGTATAATTGTCTTTATTTTGATATATCAATACATATTATATTAACGCCGTCAATAGTTCTTAAATAAAACTGAAGTATAATACGATAAACAAGACCGGAACAATGAAGTAAAAATTCAAGCGTCAAAAAATATTCAGTGAAATAGTTAACGGTGATTACAACAGACATGAACATGAATATTTTACAGAAAAAGAGAATGATTTCTTTCACGTGGTTACTTATTGTTATATATATATATGACAATATCATCGACAGAACATTATATCTTATATACAGGACTATACAACAGTGTTAAATCATGGCTTACAAGACCATATAACATTTCATATTAATGTATAGAATGACATATTTGAGTATACAAACTGTGTGTTAGATAACAAGAACATGGATGATATCATGTTACATTAACAATCAAAATATAGCTTTACTGATTGTTGGCATAAGGGGAGCTTGTGCGACTTAGAAACAAACTACTAATCCTGTTGTGCAATATAGGGAACTCGATGTATCCGTTTTATGTTTTCTGTCATTATTCATTAGATTGATATCACCTGAATCCACATATCTGCCGAAAAAAAAATCATTTAAAATTTTAAAAAAAGAAAGAAAGAAAAATGAAAATGGCCCCTCCTAGAAAATCGGTCTGCCCCCCACACTCCCACAAAAACATGACTTATAGATGCATTTTACACACACAAAAAAAACGAAATATACTACATGTATGTATTAATGTTTGGTTTGAAACCAAATTCAAAAATCGAGAAGATCAAGCATATTTTGTTAAATCATGTTCAGAAACGTAGATTGAACCACGCCATTCGGAAGTGCATTTTCATGTGCATTGGCTCTTTGAAAAAATCAAGTAACAGCGACAACATGTGTATCACTAAGGCAAAACCATTCGGGATTACTTCGATTCAAACAACACAACTGGGAAAACTTGAAAGGTCTTTGTGGAATCGTAGCCATCACCAGTTTGTTTAAAGAGACGATGCTGGTACATCTTTTTCCTTGTCGTCCTTCTCCGCCGTCGTCGTTACGCCAAATTTCTGGTCGTAATTCACACTTAGTTTTATTCTCTCCGAGAACGCGTCTGAAGAAGAAAACAAATCAAGGAATTACAGTCAACAACCAAGAGGATACCATGGCCAAGATGATTTTTGTACACAGTTGGTATTGTGTTATCGTATCTATGTGTTAGTAAAGGGTAGGGTATCGGTGTGTTAGTATGGTGTATCGTATCCATGTGTCACTTTTGTGTATTGTATCCACGTGTCACTATTGTGTATTGTATCAACGTGTCACTATTGTGTATTGTATCCGTGTGTTACTATTGTGTATTGTATCTATGTGTCACTATTGTGTATTGTATCCGTGTGTCACTATTGTGTATTGTATCCATGTGTCACTATTGTGTATTGTATCGATGTGTCACTATTGTGTATTGTATCCATGTGTCACTATTGTGCATTGTATCCATGTGTCACTACTGTGTATTGTATCGATGTGTCACTATTGTGTATTGTATCCATGTGTCACTATTGTGTATTGTATCCATGTGTCACTATTGTGTATTGTATCCATGTGTCACTATTGTGTATTGTATCCATGTGTCACTATTGTGTATTATATCCATGTGTCACTATTGTGTATTGTATCCATGTGTCACTATTGTGTATTATATCCATGTGTCACTATTGTGTATTGTATCCACGTGTCACTATTATGTATTATATCCATGTGTAACTATTATGTATTGTATCCATGTGCCACTATTGTGTATTGTATCCACGTGTCACTATTATGTATTATATCCATGTGTCACTATTGTGTATTGTATCCATTTGTCACTATTGTGTATTATATCCATGTGTCACTATTGTGCATTGTATCCATGTGTCACTATTGTGTATTGTATCCATGTGTCACTATTGTGTATTGTATCCATGTGTCACTATTTTGTATTGTATCCACGTGTCATTATTGTGTATTGTATACATGTGTCACTATTGTTCATTGTATCCATGTGTCACTATTGTGTATTGTATCCACGTGTCACTATTATGTATTATATCCATGTGCCACTATTGTTCATTGTATCCACGTGTCACTATTGTGTATTGTATACATGTGTCACTATTGTGTATTGTATCCATGTGTCACTATTGTGTATTGTATCCACGTGTCACTATTATGTATTATATCCATGTGTCACTATTGTTCATTGTATCCACGTGTCACTATTGTGTATTGTATACATGTGTCACTATTGTGTATGGTATCCATGTGTTACTATTGTGTATTGTATCCATGTGTCACTACTGTGTATGGTATCCATGTGTCACTATTGTGTAATGTATCCGTGTGTCACTACTGTTTATTATATCTATGTTCAGTAATGTGTATTATGGCCATGTGTCACAACTTGCTGATTTCAAATAATTATGTGAACACATAATAAATGCTCCATATCATTCAACAAGATCAGGTTTCTAACGAAACGATATGGTGAAGAACACAGAAAAATAATCATCCAAAATAGGAATACCGTACATATAAAGAAAAAAAACCCAGATAAACTCATTTAAACAGATAAATCTCATAAATTTCGCAACTTTTGCTTACAATTCATTTTGAAACTTGCTACAACATATTTCTTTTAGTCAAGACACGCACCGACCTTCATGCCACCTCATATTACGTTACTTAAGATTTCCAGTAATCCATCACGTCTGGTGCAAATATATACGAACTTTAGCCTAACGCCTACAATAAATAAAATCTCTTTTATCGTACTTGAAAACTAATTATAACGTAATTTCAGAAATGTGCAGTCCCGGATATATCTATTGAATGGAGATAAGTTTTCAACGAGAGGCGCAAAATTTGCATATCTTTAAAAACAAAAACGTGATTGGTAAAGACAATGCACTGGAGACCGTTGCGTGTAAACCAAATTGAAATAGGTATATATAATAGATGAGATCGATTTTAACTAAAATTCACAACGACAAAATCTGAGTAGTTGTAAAACGGAAACTAAAACAAAAAGGAAAGCAAAAGAAAATACCGAGGACTACCTAAAGCTAAAGGTTGACAACCGAAGTCACCGATAGGACAGCGTACTGGGAGAGACAGTAGAAGTGAATGAAGGAACGACAAACAGAAAGGAAAGACCACAACAGGAAGTGAGGGAACAGTAAACAGAAAGGAAAGATAACAACATGAAGTGAGGTAACAGTAAACAGAAAGGAAAGACAACACCAGGAAGTGAGGGAACAGTAAACAGAAAGGAAAGATAACAACATGAAGTGAGGTAACAGTAAACAGAAAGGAAAGATAACAACATGAAGTGAAGTAACAGTAAACAGAAAGGAAGGATAACAACAGGGAATGAGGGAAAAGTAAACAGAAAGGAAAGACAACAACAGGAAGTGAGGTAACAGTAAACAGAAAGGAAGGATAACAACAGGGAATGAGGGAAAAGTAAACAGAAAGGAAAGATAACAACATGAAGTGAGGTAACAGTAAACAGAAAGGAAAGACAACACCAGGAAGTGAGGGAACAGTAAACAGAAAGGAAAGACAACAACAGGAAGTGAGGTAACAGTAAACAGAAAGGAAGGATAACAACAGGGAATGAGGGAAAAGTAAACAGAAAGGAAAGACAACAACAGGAAGTGAGGTAACAGTAAACAGAAAGGAAAGACAACACCAGGAAGTGAGGGAACAGTAAACAGAAAGGAAAGACAACAACAGGAAGTGAGGTAACAGTAAACAGAAAGGAAGACAACAACATGAAGTGAGGTAACAGTAAACAGAAAGGAAAGACAACAACAGGAAGTGAGGGAACAGTAAACAGAAAGGAAGACAACAACAGGAAGTGAGGTAACAGTAAACAGAAAGGAAAGACAACAACAGGAAGTGAGGTAACAGTAAACAGAAAGGAAAGACAACAACAGGAAGTGAGGGAACAGTAAACAGAAAGGAAGACAACAACAGGAAGTGAGGTAACAGTAAACAGAAAGGAAAGACAACAACAGGAAGTGAGGGAACAGTAAACAGAAAGGAAGACAACAACATGAAGTGAGGTAACAGTAAACAGAAAGGAAAGACAACAACAGGAAGTGAGGGAACAGTAAACAGAAAGGAAAGACAACAACAGGAAGTGAGGTAACAGTAAACAGAAAGGAAAGACAACAACAGGAAGTGAGGTAACAGTAAACAGAAAGGAAAGACAACACCAGGAAGTGAGGGAACAGTAAACAGAAAGGAAAGACAACAACAGGAAGTGAGGTAACAGTAAACAGAAAGGAAAGATAACAACAGGGAATGAGGGAACAGTAAACAGAAAGGAAAGACAACACCAGGAAGTGAGGGAACAGTAAACAGAAAGGAAGACAACAACAGGAAGTGAGGGAACAGTAAACAGAAAGGAAAGACAACAACAGGAAGTGAGGGAACAGTAAACAGAAAGGAAAGACAACAACAGGAAGTGAGGGAACAGTAAACAGAAAGGAAAGACAACAACAGGAAGTGAGGGAACAGTAAACAGAAAGGAAAGACAACAACAGGAAGTGAGGGAACAGTAAACAGAAAGGAAAGACAACAACAGGAAGTGAGGGAACAGCAAACAGAAAGGAAAGACAACAACAGGAAGTGAGGGAACAGTAAACAGAAAGGAAGACAACAACAGGAAGTGAAGTAACAGTAAACAGAAAGGAAAGACAAAAACAGGAAGTGAGGTAACAGTAAACAGAAAGAAAAACCAAATGAATTGAGGAGACGTAAAACAGGAGCAGGGGATACATAAAAATGAGAGAAAATTGAATAAAAGTAGTCAACAAAACAAGGGGAAAACGGGAATTAGGAGTCACCAAGACAAGAAAGTTTGACTCAGGAGTCAAAAAAGACAAGAACAAAAGCAGGATTCAGGAGTCACCGAGACAAAAAGAAAACTGACTGAACTAAAGGTATCTGTTAGTAAGTTCATCACCAATGAAAACGAATGATGGGTTGACATGATATTGTAGAAAAGGTATATTATATTAACTGAGGCCATTTATGTTTTCGACATTAGAAATAAGTCTGCAGATGATCTCACAAAAGTCAAGTACCATTTCAGTGTAACAACAGAGAATTTAATTTGTCAACTAATGTGCATTTTGTCATGATCTAGAGATGCCCTTATATTAAGATGTTTCAATCCTGTGTATTTGTAATTGATAATTCTCCTATTTGGTAAATTTGATAAGTGGTGCTCGTTTAGTCAGAGGTGCTAACAGTCCTTGTTGTAATCTGGTTGTAAAACGTGAGCAGGATGTGGGTTTAACCTTTGGGAGACAAGATGGCGAAAGCACTATGACAAGAACGAACAATAATTAGATTTTGTTTAGCATTTAGCGTTTGAAATACGAAATCAATATTGGTGGGTGTAATGGTTCAGTGTAGCTTTTAAATTTGTATTTAACATTGACTAGCAATAGAAAGATATTTTTATGTTTTAAAAATGTTTGTTTCAATTATTGGTGTGAATTGTGGAATTAACGAACGCCCCTATAGAGTACCTCTATATCGAAACGGTCATCTGCGCGTGACAATGACCAGTACCTATAATTGTAATCTGTATTCACGTACAGAATAACAAGGTCATTTCTGTAATTTATTAATTATCCGAAAGCTATTCTGTGTAACATTGGATATACACTGTAGAAATTATCACTGTTTTCGTGGTTATGAACAAAACACGAAAAATAGCACATAGCGAATAAGACTTCATCAAGACAAGGACGTTAATGTGATATATTTGAATTTTAGAAACCATAGAACCATTATACAACAGACAACTTTTTAACACTTTTTAATACAAACATAGAATCAGAGACGAAAAATGAATTACACCTCATCACGAAATAACGTCTCGCTTTGTCACTGATGAATTTACCCATTGACAAACGATGTTATAAATCATACAGAAATGCGAACACACTAAACCCACGGGTAGTATGCAATTTGTGTTAGACGTGGTAATAAGTATGATTTACTGAGAAATGAACATTTAAACGTCTTCATAACTTTTTTTTTCTCCGGATCCAAGTGATACAGACTCAAATATCACACACATCCTAAACATTTTGCAGTCGATATGAAACTATCATTGATCTTTGAATAGGTCTTATATCAAAAATAGTTTTACTTTGTGACACACCTTACTGACGAAACTATCATTATATTCACTATACATTAAGTTCCCTGTAACAATATATAAGCAAAAGAACATGAGGTACTCTTATCATTTTTAAACTAGTTTTTGAATATATACATTATCATTATTTGATCTCCAGCTATGAATTTCCCTTCGATTGTAAACAACACTCAAAACCCAAAATAGTGGAATAGTTCCGGTATGCTATGTAAGCTAGACTTTCCGCTTTTTAGAAGATTTTCAAAGAGTTATTTCCCCTACAACGTTTTTAGACATAGCGAGACATGCTACACAACATTTAGTATCAACTGATGATTTCAAAATTTTAATGGTTGAATAGACTTAATGCTTTGATTCGTCATTTGTTCAAATCATTATCGAATCGACAACGATGAAAATTATAAATTATAAATTTTAAATCGATGTCGTTACAACTCTCACCACGACGAACTAAAGCTTTGTCTTTCTGAAAACGATATCACTATAAGCGATTATATATATTGAGGATGTGTTACCATGGTTATTGGTGAGAATGGAACTCGTAGTTGTCTGAGGCTTTTTATTATAGCTAGCAGAGTTCATAGTGAGGCGACGAACATTCTTTTCCGGTTGGAAGACAATGATGTACATTTTGGGTGTGAACAGACACAGGAGGGCCACAGTAGCGCTAAGACTGATGGAGATACACAACGTGGTGATCTGAACCTGAAATAAATAAAAAAAAAACAATAAAGAGCAAGCTGATCATTATATAATGTTCTTAATAGTGCGGACTAACAAAAAACTAGTGTGTTGGAATGTGGATTCTGACAAAGACTATAGTCCCTATCATATTCTATGCTCTACAATAGAACTAATCGATTCCTTCCCTGGTTCTCATTTAGAGAACGTTACATTACTTGAATTTACCTAGATTAACATGACAAATATTATCACTGATGAAGAAAACATGACGCTTCTGGAGAAACTGGTCTTACATTCATTGTACATTTCTAACGTTGAACTATTTCCTTTTGCTCATTTGCAGTTGATTTCATTGGTTTTTTAATTTGAATATAGAATCTTTCTACTTGTATTCTCAGATTATTTTCATAACTGTTTGGATGTTTATGATATCACAATGACAAAACATATTATACATCCAGCCATCACTGAAACGACCAATTATAACCCAGTTCTCAATACCGAAGTTGAATACACGTTTTCTTCTCTCCACGTACATTGATATCAATGTTTGAGTTTTAATGAACATTATAGGTATGCCGATATTCTAATTGTTTTGTTTACATCAATCGGATTTCTGTAACATGGTACAGTAAGGACCGAGTTGAGCGGTATACGATTACATCATCCTAAAAGGTTTCTATTTTCTTGGGAAATTGTTTGCGTTCTTTACGAGAAAAGAATTAAAATCGAGAAAAAAAGTACATTGGAATTCATAATTGTAATATCATTTGGCTTTTGTAAAATCAAGAAAATCTGTCCTGTCAAAAAATTAGATTTACATCAGAACACTGCCGACATTTACAGAAGAAAACTGCCGACATTTAGAGTAGAATACTGCCGACATTTACAGCAAAGCACTGCCGACATTTATAGTAGAACACTGCTGACATTTACAGTAGACCACTGCCGATATATACAGTAGAACACTGTTGACATATACAGCAGACCACTGCCGACATTTACAGTAGAATACTGCCGACATTTACAGCAGAACACTGCCGACATATACAGCAGAGCACTGCCGACATTTATAGTAGAACACTGCCGACATTTACAGTAGAATACTGCCGACATTTACAGCAAAGCACTGCCGACATTTATAGTAGAACACTGCCGACATTTATAGTAGAATACTGCCGACATTTACAAAGCACTGCCGACATTTACAGCAAAGCACTGCCGACATTTATAGTAGAACACTGCCGACATATACAGTAGAATACTGCCGACATATACAGCAGACCACTGCCGACATTTATAGTAGAATACTGCCGACATTTACAGTAGCATACTGCCGACATTTACAGTAGAATACTGCCGACATTTACAGTAGAACACTGCCGACATTTACATCATAATACTACCGACATTTACTGCCGACATTAATAGTAGACACTGCCGACATTTATAGTAGAATACTGCCGACATTTACAGCAAAGTACTGCCGACATTTATAGTAGAACACTGCCGACATTTATAGTAGAATACTGCCGACATTTACAGCAGACCACTGCCGATATATACAGTAGAACACTGCCGACATATACAGCAGACCACTGCCGACATATACAGTAGAACACTGCCGACATATACAGCAGACCATTGCCGACATTTACATCAGAACACTGCCGACATTTACATCAGAACACTGCCGACATTTACATCAGAACACTGCCGACATATACAGCAGAGCACTGCCGACATCTAAAGTAGAATACTGCCGACATTTACAGTAGAATACTGCCGATATATACAGTAGAACACTGCCGACATACACAGCAGACCACTGCCGATATATACAGTAGAACACTGCCGACATTTACAGCAGAACACTGCCGACATTTATAGTAGAACACTGCCGACATTTACAGTAGAACACTTCGGACATCTATAGTATAACACTGCGGACATTTATAGTAGAACACTGCAGACACTTAAATCAGAATACTGCCGACATTTACAGTAGAATACTGCCGACATTTACAGCAGAACACTGCCGACATTTACAGTAGAACACTGCCGACATTTACAGTAGAACACTGCCGACATTTACAGTAGAACACTGCCGACATTTACAGTAGAACACTGCCGACATTTACAGTAGAATACTGCCGACATTTACAGTAGAATACTGCCGATATATACAGTAGAACACTGCCGACATATACAGCAGATCACTGCCGACATTTACAGTAGAATACTGCCGATATATACAGTAGAACACTGCCGACATATACAGCAGATCACTGCCGACATTTACAGTAGAATACTAGACATTTACTGCCGACATTTACACAGAACACTGCCGACATTTACATCAGAACACTGCCGATATTTACATCAGAACACTGCCGACATATACATCAGAACCCTGCCGACATATACATCAGAACACTGCCGACATATACATCAGAACACTGCCGACATAAACAGCAGACCACTGCCGACATTTACAGTAGAATACTGCCGATATATACAGTAGAACACTGCCGACATATACAGCAGATCACTGCCGACATTTACAGTAGAATACTGCCGATATATACAGTAGAATACTGCCGACATTTACAGTAGAATACTGCCGACATTTACAGTAGCATACTGCCGACATTTACAGTAGCATACTGCCGACATTTACAGTAGAATACTGCCGACATTTACAGTAGAATACTGCCGACATTTACAGCAGACCACTGCCGACATTTATAGTAGGATACTGCCGACATATACAGCAGACCACTGCCGACATTTATAGTGGAACACTGCCGACATTTACATCACTGCCGACATTTACAGTAGAACACTGCCAACATTTATAGTAGAACACTGTTGACATTTACATCAGAACACTGCCGATATATACAGTAGAACACTGCCGACATTTACAGTAAAATACTGCCGATATTTACAGTAGAACACTGCCGACATTTACAGTAGAACACTGCCGACATTTACAGTAGAATACTGCCGACATTAAGAGCAGACCACTGCCGACATTTACAGTAGAACACTGCCAACATTTATAGTAGAATACTGCCGACATTTACAGTAGCATACTGCCGACATTTACAGTAGAACAATGCGGACATTTATAGTAGAACACTGCTAACATTTATAGTAAAATACTGCCGACATTTACAGTAGAGCACTGCCGAAATTTACAGTAGAACACTGCTGACATATACAGCAGACCACTGCCGACATTTACAGTAGGACACTGCCGTTATTTACATCAGAACACTGCCGACATATGCATCAGAACATGGCCGACATTTACAGTAGAACACTGCCGATATTTAGAGTAGAACACTGCCGACATTTATAGTAGAATACTGCCGACATTTATAGTAGAATACTGCCGACATTTAGAACACTATGTAGTAGAACACTGCCGACATTTACACACTAGACATTTACAGTACTGCCGATATATACAGTAGAACACTGCCGACATCTGCATCAAAACACTGTCGACATTTACATTAGGACACTATGAACATTTACAGTAGAACACTGCCGACATTTACAGTAGAACAGAACATTTACAGTAGAACACTGCCGACATCTGCATCAAAACACTGTCGACATTTACATTAGGACACTATGAACATTTACAGTAGAACACTGCCGACATTTACAGTAGAACATACTGAACATTTACAGTAGAACACTGCCGACATCTGCATCAAAACACTGTCGACATTTACATTAGGACACTATGAACATTTACAGTAGAACACTATGAACATTTACAGTAGAACACTATGAACATTTACAGTAGAACACTGCCGACATTTACATAGAACACTACAGTAGAACACTGCCGACATTTACAGTAGTAGAACATTTACAGTAGAACTATGAACATTTACAGTAGAACATTTACAGTAGAACACTATGAACATTTACAGTAGAACACTGCACGACATTTACAGTAGAACACTAGTGAACATTTACAGTAGAACACTATGAACATTTACAGTAGAACTACTGAACATTTACAGTAGAACACTGCCGACATCTGCATCAAAACACTGTCGACATTTACATTAGGACACTTCGAACATTTACAGTAGGACACTATGAACATTTACAGTGACTGCCGACATTTACAGTAGAACACTATGAACATTGTCGACATTTACAGTAGAACACTATGAACATTTACAGTAGAACATTGTCGACATTTACAGTAGAACACTATGAACATTTACAGTAGAACATTGTCGACATTTACAGTAGAACACTATGAACATTTACAGTAGAACACTATGAACATTTACAGTAGAATACTGCCGACATTAAGAGCAGACCACTGCCGACATTTACAGTAGAACACTATGAACATTTACAGTAGAACACTATGAACATTTACAGTAGAACACTATGAACAATTACAGTAAAACACTGTCGACATTTACATTAGGACACTTCGAACATTTACAGTAGGACACTATGAACATTTACAGTAGAACACTATGAACATTTACAGTAGAACACTATGAACATTTACAGTAGAACACTATGAACATTTACAGTAGAACACTATGAACATTTACAGTAGAACACTGTCGACATTTACAGTAGAACACTATGAACATTTACAGTAGAACACTATGAACATTTACAGTAGGACACTATGAACATTTACAGTAGAACACTATGAACATTTACAGTAGAACACTATGAACATTTACAGTAGAACACTATGAACATTTACAGTAGGACACTATGAACATTTACAGTAGAACACTATGAACATTCACAATAATTATATATCTTTGTCCTCACTGGTGTGATGTAGAGCGCTTTGTCACCCCGCTTTCTTAATACAGTTATAGAAGCGACACTTTGGGGGTGTTGTGATAGAATACAGTTATAAAGACACTTTGGGGGTGTTGTGATAAATACAGTTATCACCAATAGAAGCGACACTTTGGGGGTGTTGTGATAGAATACAGTTATAGAAGCGACACTTT